TTTGTGATTTTTTTTAAATTTGTATATGTATATTTTTGTAAAGATAAAAAGAGAGAAAGGTAGAGATTTATAGAGAGGTTGGGGGTGAGGGTTTGAGAGTTGTTGAGTTGTGGGTTAGGGTTGTATATGTTTATGTGTGTTTGTGTGTTTGGGTTTGTTTGTATGTGTTTGTATGTATATATATATATATATATATATATATATATTATGTATATATATATATGTATATATATATATATATATATATATATATATATATATATATATATATATATATATATATATATATATATATTGAATTAACAAAAACGAGTTTTGTTTTGTAATTTTCAATAATATTGTAGAATTTTATTTTTTTAATAATAGTGTAAAAACGATAGTACACCATAGTACAACATAGTACATCATAGTACACCATAGTATTTTTAAAATTTATTGAATTATTTAACAAAAAAGAAGAAAAAAAAAACGTAATTTTCAAAAAAAAGTCACAAATAAGGAAAAAAAAATTGTTTATAATAATGTAAAAAATGCAGAGTGAAAATTGAAAAAATAAAAATGAGTGAAAGGGCATTTTTGGAATGAATTTAATAAAGGATGTGAAGCAAATGTTTAATTGAGCTTGTCATTTAGTTCTAACTTCTAATTAGTTTTGTCACCAGGGACCTATATCTTAAGACCCCCTATTTTTATTTATTTTTTTGAACTGAAATTTAATAGTTATTAGTTTTACTTTTATTGACGTGGATGTTCTTATTTTTTAAAAATTATGAACATTGTAGAAAATTTAGGATAAGTTTTGAAATTTTAAAGCTTATGTGAGTTTTATTTTCGAAATGCCGAAATTTCCGGGCCTTTTGGAATTGGAATAATTTTTAGATTCCGAAAATTTTGGAATTGGAATTGGAATTGATTTTGTACTTCCGATTTTTTGGAAATTTTTGAAAAGGCTAATTCTAATCCGATACATCTGACTTTCGCTCCTAGGTTGATATTTAGAGTTAGGCGTGGGGGATAATTATAGTTTTGATCCCTATATTATTCCTTTTTTTTTTGTCCTTCAACTTTTTCTTCAAATAATCATTTTTTTTTACAATATTCGCCCATCGTTTGAAATTTATGTTAATTTGGAATGAAAAGTCACGTGTAAGACACGTGATCATGCACATTATTGCATAAAAGACTAAAAACAATATTTCTGAAATTACAACATATGTTTAATTATTTTTTACATATTAATAATTACAAATAATGAAATACATTATTTTACAAAATTAAAATTTGACATAATCAAATTAGTGACCGAGTTTTTTGATTAAAAATATTTAAAATAAAGAAATAAATAATATTTGTGAATAAAATATAATGTACTAATTCCTAGAAACTCTCGTATGGTATTTTGTCATTTCACATTTTTAGTACAATTCTCAAATTTAATTTTATTTGGACGGAATTGTAAGAATAAAGTGATATTGGGGGTTAAATTAACAACATAAGTAAAAAAGAAGGGGTTACCACGCACGTGAATTTTCCGTCCAAACTAACAGCAATTTCAAAAAATGGTAAAAGAACTGGTTATTTCATGACCAATTTCGTGCCAAAAAGAAAATTAAGAACCAAAATTAAAAAAAATGTATAATATAGAGATCAAAATTGTAATTATCCCCGAAAATTAGAATAGGCATTAATTATGGGGTAATTTGCTAAATACTGTTCATCACTAATATTCTTAATAAATCAAGACCTTCGGACCTTCTATCCCTTTAAGACGAAATTACCTCTCTCTCTCTCTCTCTCTCTCTCTCTCTCTCTCTCAATCACACAATCACACACAAAAATTATGGAAAGTCGGACATGCGTTTGTAAATGCCCATTTGAAGTTTCATGAATTGCAGTTGTCAGTTATTCACTTTGTCTAGCTATAAAACTTGGGGGAGCGATAATTGTCAATAATTGATATTTCATAGAAGATGATCATTGAACATAACTAAACTCTGCAACTAAGTATTCTTTATACTTTTTACTGTATATTACTTATATGTGTATAATTCTCTTTCTAAACTCCATAACTAATTTTCACTATATAATTTTCATCTGTGTATACTTCTATGTGAAGTGCATATATCCAGACTCGGTTTAAGTCCCTTAAGTAAGCTATATATGCTATTCATGTAATTTTTAAGTTCTAGACTTCTGGTATCTATTGTTCCGGTATCAAACAATACACGAAGGGAAAAAGTGTCTACTCAGCGTCCATTTAACCCTACTAGAGGACTTCAGGGACTTTAAATGGTACGAAAATCTAATTAGAGGACCTTAAACAAAATGACAAACATTGTCTATCCTTAAGTGGTACCAAATGTTTTTGAAGGGCCCCTAGCTCATAATCCCATAAGAACAAAGAAAAGCACTTTTTGAATGTTAATATTTCAAACATATATTTTTTATACATATATTGTTTTTTTTCTTATATATATTGTTTAAAACATCCTGATAATTTGAAGATGAAATTTATAATAATAATAATATTATTATTATTATTATTATTATTATTATTATTATTATTATTATTATTATTATTATTATTATTATTATTATTATTATTATTATTATTATTATTATTATTATTATTATTATTATTATTATTATTATTATTATTATTATTATTATTATTATTATTATTATTATTATTATTATTATTATTATTATTATTATTATTCATTTTTATATGATTCGAATGGTTGAAATAATGGTACCTCTTTATTTTAAAGGTAGTTTTTTTGTAAAATCAATCCAAAATAAAAATGAAAAAGGAAATGATTTAAGAAAAAAAAAAATCAGAATAAATATTCTCAATGTTCGAAATATGGTTGGTAGTGTGAGTTTATTTACAAGGGGCAATATGCCAAACACCCTTCATTGGGAATTTAATTCTTGATAAATCCTTTTTTTATAAATGATATTTGAGATAAATCCAATGGGTCTGAAAAACCATATATGCCCTCACTAACTATTAATTAGTATAATTATTTAATTTAAAAAAAAATACACCCATAATCTACACCCAAATTTTCTCCTAAAATTATTCCCCTCATCCCGTTAATTCAGTTTTTTTTTCCTTTTCTTTTTTATTTTGTTTAATGGTTTTCTTTATTTCCATTTAAAATAAAATTTTGTAATTATATTATTTTTTTTGGGTTGTTTATTTTAAATTATTATTTTTTCTTATTTTTTTTTTCATGTTTTTATTTTAATTTAAAAAATGGTTTTATTTTTATTTTCGTTTTTTCATGGTTTTTTTTTTAATTTCAAAGTTTTTTAAAAATGGGTTTTTTTATTTTCTTTCCAGTTTTTTTAAATAAAAACTACTCTATATAAACATGAAAACCACTATAACAACTATATAACATGAAAAATACTCTGTATAACAACTATGTAAACTTGAAAACCACCCTTTATAATAACTATGTCAACTTAAAAACCACTCTGAATATACTGTTAAATAAATATCTGTACAAAAATTATTGAAAACCACTATAAAATTGTTGAAAACCACTATAAATTTATCAAAGACAAAGCCTGACATTATGAAAACTACTCGGTATAAACAACTATATAAACATGAAAACCACTCGATATAAACCAATTATATAAACATCAAAATCACATTATATACACAACTATATAAACATCGAAAATCACTATGAATTCTAACAAGAAAACATAAAAAATTCTGCAAAAAAGAAGCTATAAAACCACTATAAAGGACACCATTTTCTCTCGAATGAACCCTAGAGCATAGTCCGTGTAATCATCTTCTTCTCGTTATTTGAAACGTAAACCACTATTTGAAAAAATCATCATCTTCTTCCTCCCATCAGCAATTTCGTCAAAAAAAAATCATCAAGAACAAAAACAATACCAAATTTAAAAGAACAAAAATTCAATCTTATATCATCACTTTCTCTTATCGCTTTACCGATCTCCATTTTCTGGCTTATAACAATATCAATTTTCCTGAATGAGAATTCAAAACAATTACAACAATAATGACGATAAGTCACCGAATAATTAAACTCGAAAAGCTAGCAAAAGCGTGTCGTAACAGAAGTCTGAAAATTTCAATTAAAGGAAAACAATAACAAACATATAAGATTTAATTCAAGAAAATATAATGGAAAGTCCGATTCTACAAAGTGCAACTGCATAAGAAGAGATTAATATTGGCAACTATGATAAAGAATTAGAATTGGTGTCTCTTCAATTTGGAACAATCAATTACTGAAGGAGATATTAATATAATTAATTTTTATTTCTATTCATATTTTTTCCCTACTTCTCCAATTATTATAAACGCATAACAAAAAAAATATTCTGAAACCAACTTACCTTTGCGGCAAAAAAATGAAGTCGACGATCCACATACCTTCTTCGGTGAATCACGCCACTAAATATTGAGAACGATGGAGGGACGCACAGATCCTCATACCCGAGGATGAGACATCGGTAAGGGTGTGGTCTCCGATGAAAAGGGGTGGTCGTTCGGTGGGGCCGCCAGGGTGTGGGTGTGGTCGTCCGGTGGGGGCTGCGAGGGTGTGGGTGTGGATATGGGAGTGGGTTGTGAAGAGAAGAGAAACGAGAGAGACGGCTACGGGTTAGGAGAGTTTAATGAGATCGATAATGAGAGAAGAGATGAAATGGCCGCTACTATTGAAATAAGAGAGAGATGGGGAATATGTAGAAAAGGAAAATATTGAGTACGTAGATTGTCTAGTGTTAGATGAAGAGTATAAAAGTGAATTAAATTATTTATGATTAATTAAAAGATATTTTGGATTTATCTTAAAAAGAGAAAAAAAATTGGACATTGCATATGAGGGGTGTTTGTGAAATAATCCCTATTTACAAAGGAATATAATGTGTTAAATTGATGACAAGACATGTGAAATCTATTTTCTTGGTCGTGATTTGGACACGAACCTCTTTCTACGACAACTCTATTAATGGTTATAGTTTTTTTGAAATGTAAATTGAGTTGAATATAACTTGACTTTGAATATTTATTATAAATGATATGAGTAACTACAATATTTACCTATTCCTCAGTGTTTCTAAACTCCATTAGGATGCATAATTTACAGATTTCAGCAAAAACGACAACATCAATGAAAGTTCTACCGAGTCTCTGAATCTAGAGACTAGGGCAAAATTTCTAACTTTTTGTAGATGAGATCAATTGAAAAATCCACATTTTCAGATTCTTTTTTTTTTTCTGAGATAGATGTACACTAAAAAAATTTAGACTTTTCGAATAAAATTTATTCCTCAGAATTAATGGTTTGAAATCACATCTACCATCCCAGCATAGACACGGTTAAGGGCCGGGTTGGACCCGGACCCAACCCGGATTTGGACCCGCCCTGCCCCGGAACCAACTCGCACCCCTTGGACCCAGACATGGACCCGGACTCGACTTTACATGGGTCGGTTTCGGGTCTTGATTTATTGGACCTGAGGACCCGTCGGGTCCACCCGATTAAAAAAATGTTTTTTTTTTTATTTTGAAAATGCAACGGCTATAAACCGGATCCGAACCGGTCCGTAAATTCGTTTTTTTGTTTTCAACGGCTAGAAACTCGGGTCCACCCCGAACCGACCCGGACCCGGTCAGACTAAATTCAATTTTTTTTTCCAACAGTCAAGATTCAAAATAATAAATAAAAAATCAAAAGACCGGTTTTGGACCCGGACCCGGAAGGTCTCGAGTGGACCCGACCGGGACCCGGGCCCGCCTCCACACGGGTCGGTTTCGGGTCCCCCAATAGTAGGACCCGGACCCTGCGCGTCTGACCCGGCCCGTGGCCGTGTCTACCCCAGCATACTAGCATATGCGGATCATGCAAATTTATGTGTCGGAGAATTCATCAACTTTGCTGCCATTTTTCAGGCGGTGTTTGACTCGGGTTTAACCTCAAAATTCTGCTGTGGTGGTTCTTTTGGATCTTCTTCTGTTTGCGCTATCAGAACGGCATCCTAAAATAAATGCGTACAGTAGCATCAAAAAATAGTTTGTTTTCTTCGTCGTATCCTGAAATGTCGATGGGATTTAAGATTACCCAATGTTTGAGATTGAGATGAGTTATTATACAATTCGGTCAATATCCTGCGCTGGATTGTGTTATAATTCGGGTTGAGTTTGAATTAAATATCTGGGCATATATTATTTTTTTTTATCATGAGCTCGAAACCTAAATATTTGACAAAGCTTAGTTATATATATCGTCAATCAAGCCTAATCACAATTCCCAAACATAGAATAATTCAAAAACATCAGATACGGAACTTTAATGCACGTCTCCTCTACACATGCTCATTTAGTTATTCACCCGAAATATTCTAACATTTCAATTGTATGCGTCATCCGATCACCAATGCTTAAAAACTTACGCTCTAAGGGCCTGAAAGGAACTTGCGATAAACAAAAGGCAGTGATAATCGTCTAAAAGGCGGCTTTACCTCATTAGGTACGACATCGCAAAGCCCGTCACCGAAAAGCGCACAAGCAATTCAAAGTCCTGGCCGGTCAACTTCTTGGTCCTGTAGTATCGAAAAAATAAGGTCATTCTAACCACAAATAAAGTGCGATGCAACATCCTTATAATTCCGTGAAAATCGGTTTAACTTATATTTCACTACTATGGAGTATTGAAACCCCAATATTTTATGATCAACATTACAGACACCGTTTTTAGGCCAAACGGTTGACCAGCTTTGGATTCCAATGGCAAAACAAAAATTCTACTAAAAATTCCCGAGTACCTGAATCTCAGGTTCAGCCACACCAAATTGCTTCAGCATGCGATTGCCAAAAGCACGAGACATTGCCAAGACACCTTCGACCCTCCAACTTCCTGAGATGAAAGCAATAACATAATGTCATCACATAGCACTCGCGATTTTTTTTACTATACATAACTTGAATTTGCCGTTATAACTTTAATTTCTACAGACAAGGCATAGATTATATATATATATATATATATATATATATATATATAACTGACGAAGATCAACTAGTCCACAAATGAGGTCCCACGTATCGGTAATCATAATTAAGTCTTTGATCCAGTTCCAGCTATAGTTCCAAAGCCGCCAAACCCCTGTGCAATATTACGATTCATGCCAGGAAAAATCGTAAATATTCGGTCCCTGTGCCACATTAATGTTCACTCGGGAACTGTTACTACCAACATCTACTTTTGCTTTCTTAGGACATGGATCAAATGTTGGGGCCGGACGACTTCTTCTCTTCTTATCCCTTGGAAGCTGTTTTATCACAACAAAAGTGGGTCCCCTTGACGCCACAGAAGGAGCCGGATCTTCAGCATTTTGAGTGGTTGAATTTTCAGACGGTTTCTTATTTGCCGGATAAGGCACGGGCTTGCATTTTTTGGAAAAACGCGGTTGAGCCATCTCTAAAGCCATGAATGGCTTCTTACAGCTTGGACAACGGAGAATACCGTTGAGATACATCCGGAGGTACTCGTACTGCATGTCGCATAGATTACATTTTGTCCAGAAAGTATCACTATTTTTCTTGTGGAGTGGAGTAGGAGCTGGCTTTGAGGGCACCTTGGCACTCTTCTTCTGTGCCTTCGGAACTGCGGTTCTTGCTCCAGGTGGTGCTGACGAGCTGCTGGTATATGATGGCGGGACAGAGGTGTGAGCTGGTGGACGACCATCGGTGCGTGCTGACGGACCGACACCTGGTTGTGCTGGCGGACCGACACCTGGTTGTGGATGGCCGCCAGTGTATGCCGATGGACTAGCACTTGTGTAAACTGATGGACGAAAGCCAGTGTTTGCGGATGGAGCACCACCAGTGTGCGCTGATGGAGCACCGCTAGTGCAGGGTGCTGATGGTGCACAACCAGTGTGCGCTGAAGGTGCACCGCCAGTGTGTACCGGAATTCTCTGATGGAATCCGATAATTCCTCTTCGTTGGTTGTAGGCCAACCTTCCTTCTCCCCTCGTCCAACAGCAACTTCCAGGCCTCGGAAATAAGTTTGAACGCACCATCTCCACCGATAGCGCTGTTCTTGTCCGGGTGCAGCAGAAGAGCCAATCTCCTGAACTGCTTCTTTATCGTGTTCTCGTCCGCAGAGGGGCTCACAGCGAGCACTCCATACCAATCTGTTTCCCCGTTGATTTTATTTTCTGCTGAAATGTGCACATCGAGTGTCATCAGCAGCTGGGAAATACCATCCAAGCCTGGGTACAGATTTTGTGCTTTCAAGGCGAACTTTTTCGCACTAAAAAAGTCCCTCTGCTCCAACTTCGCCTCGGCGATAGATTTTGCCCTCATTGCTTCATCCCTATTGCACTCCATATTCGACACTTCACCAGATTATCGACTGTACTCTTGATATGGCAATACGACAGCAGAAGTGCACCCACTGACAGCTCACTACAAACACGAAAATACTGCACTGATTTAGGTAAGGATCTCCACAAAAACAGCGATCCTTTTGATACTTAATTGCGCCAAGTACCTAATTTGTAACAGAAAAGTTAAATGAAGTTAGTTCTATAATGACATAAATACAATGCAACGGAGGCAGAAAAAAAACGGGAAACCGAGGGAAATACAACAAGTATTCATGGAGAAGTCTAAACTTTTAAGTACTGATAAAAAAATACATATATATCATCTTGACAAAATTTATCACCCATGCAAAACAACGTGAACACGAGCAGAAATCAAGGGATCATGATTTCGACATGCAAAATATAAAGATCCCCAAAGTTCCATCAAATAACAAACATTAAGTTAGACAAATTAAATCGGAAATTTCCAGAAGAAACGCTGAAATATAGAAACACATTTAACCCAGTACTGAACCTCTCAAGTCTACAATCGAACAACTCGATCTACAACAGATGGTTCAATTTGGTGATAAATGTTTAAAACCTTTGCTTATGAGCTTATGTTTCGCTAAAGCTTAGTGGTTCGGATCATATTTGAAAGTAAGAAGGCAATTTTGGGAAATAAATTTGTAATTTAAGGAATGGGGCGTAATTCAAAGGCGTCCGGAAAAGGAAATAAAAGTATTCAAATCTGAGACGGATCGGAAATTTCTCGTCTACTTCCATCTTTTTACACTTGAAATAAATTTAGAGTATTAATTATTTGTGTGCCGATTAGGATCGATAGAAATGTTAAAACTGGAGCTTTTCTGAACACGTGTTAATACAGTAACCTGTTTCGCACACGTGTTGATAACGGTCGACTCAAACAGTTTAAAAATGTTTGCCCGCGAAATCAATCAAGCTTACAAGCAAATGAAAATTCCGATAACCTGTTTCGGACACGTGTTGATAACGGTCGACTCAAACAGTTAAAATAAATTATCCGCGGAATCAATCAAGTTTACGAGCAAATGAAAATTCCAAGTTAAGATGTAAAACATATGCATGAACATGAAACCACTCAGTGTTTAGCTGCTTATTCTTTTTTCGAAGCACATCGAAGTTCAACTTAAAATCCTTTAATACCAAATTCGATATTAAAAAAAAAGCATGAAATTGAATAAATAGTCTGCAAATGATTATTTGAGCGCAGCTTACACAGAAAAACCACATTACACCAGATCAGTAAATTATGAGGGGAAAACCCTAATCACAACACAACCTTCATCTCAACAGCAGTAAATGGTAAAAAAAAAAAAATGATTCAAGCAAAATAATAGTTAAACCCCTAAATGTAAAATAAAACAAAAACAGAACCCAAATTCAGAGAACACAGAAAGCTAACCATGGATTTGTAATTGTACGCTGAAAACACGACAGAAAAAAAAAATCAATTTCACTCATAAATCAAAATTCAGAATTGAAGATTACAAATTCCACGTAGAAAACCAAAAAATAAAAAGGCAAGCATAGAAAGATGAATTACTGATAAAATTGAGGAGTTTGAATCGGCAGGTGTTTGAACTGGTTGGGGTTTTATCTAATCTATCTTTCCCACCAAATTGAAATGTCAAAAACCCCCAAAAGAAATAAGAACCCTAAAAAAATGTATCTTAATTGAGAAAATTGATGGTGACTATTGAAAAGTTTCATCTCATCTTTTTTTATATAAAAAAAGTGTATTTGGTTAACCCTAACTAGAGTTGGATTTAACCATGGTTAGTAATTAGATTTTAAAACCATAGTTACTTTTTTAAATGCTTAAAATGCATGTATCTTTACATCTTTTGGATTTCGTCATTTATTACGTCCATCTGTCTTGAATAGAATGAATTTAAATTTTTTTAGAGGCCCTTAATTTTCTTAGTTGTCAGTTGTAATGCATTTACTATTTTTGTCTCGTATATAATTTATATTCTCTTTTGAAAATTTTATTGATTTTCTTTTTCATAATATTAGAGCAAAAACAATTAAATATCATTTATTAAAATGTTTATTAAGCAAAATATATATTAAGTTACTATAATCTACATATTTCATATTAGTGTTTGATTCCATTAGAATGTTATTTTGTATTACTATTTTAAACTTAATTGGTCTTTGTTTATTTCTAAATTTAATTGTGTGAAACTTAGGTCATTTGTTGTTGTCACTTTTGAATATTGGTAAAGCGGGAGAGAAAAGCAAAGACATGTTACATAGCTACATTTTATTTTGGATTAATGGCATTTTGCCCCCTAAACTATGGTGTGTTTTGCACGTTACCCCCTAGACTGATTTTTTTACAAGTTTTTCCCCAAACTCGTCAAATTGTTGCACGGTACCATAAAGTTGTCATTTCCGTTCAATTTTCACCGGAATCAGCTGTACATGCGAGGCACATGAGATTATTTAGGGTAGAAGCGTCAGATCATTTCTCCTCCATTTATCACATTCCCTATAATTCAAGGCTGGAGACATATGGAAGATAATAAATGGGAAAGATGGCCAATAAAAAAAAGGGAAACAAATGTAGATAGGCGAGGGTTAATCTTCCAATGAATTGACGTTTTTACCCTAATGTGGTTTACGTCTCTCGTATGGTTTGCAACCTATTGTACGAAAGTGTAGGTTTACCCAGTGCACTTATATGGGTTGGCTGGAGTTCCCTCATTAGAAAAAAATTAATACTAAGACTAACACTAATACTAATACTAATCATAACACTAACACTAATACTAACACTAATACGAATATTAATACTAATACTAATACTTATACTAATACTAATACAAATAATAATACTAATACTAATACTAATACTAATACTAATACTAATACTAATACTAATACTAATACTAATAGTAATACCAATACTAATACTAATACTAATATTAATGCTATTAATACGAATATTAATACAAATACTAACACTAATACTCATATTGATACAAAGAGTGATATTGAGACTTATACTAATACTAATACTAACATTAATACTAATACTAGTACTTGTAGTTTAATACTAATATTAATACTGATACACATAGTCTAATACTAATATTAATACTAATAATAATATTGATATACATATGCATATTCATATTTATATTGATATTGATATTGATATTGATATTGATACTGATACAAATATTGATAGTGATATTGATATTGATACTGATACTGATAATGATACTCGTACTGTTGATATTGATACTATTGATACTGATACTGATAATGGTATTGATACTAATACTGATACTGATACTAACACTGATACTAACACAAATACTATTATAAATACTAATAAATATTAATGCTAATACTAATACTAATAGTAATACTAATACTAATACTAATACTAATATTAATACTAATACTAACCCTAATACTAATACTAATACTAATGCTCATACTAACCCTAGTACTAATACTAATACTAATACTAATACTAATACTGATAATAATACTAATACTAATGCTAATACTAATACCAATATTAATAGTAATACTTATACTAATATTAAAACTAATAGTAATACATATACTCATATTAATATTAATACTAATACTAATACTTACACTAATACTAACACTAACACTAATACTTATACTCGTACTAATACTCATACTCATACTAATACTCATACTAATACTAATACTAACACTAATACTTATACTCATACTAATACTCATACTCATACTCATACTCATACTCATACTCATACTCATACTCATACTCATTCTCATACTAATACTAATACTAATACTAATACAAATACTAATATTGATAATGATGATATTGATAGTGATATTGATATTGATACTGATATTGATATTGATACTGATACTGATATTGATACTGATATTGATACTTATACTGATACTTATACTGATACTAATACTGATACATATACCTGGTATCGATACTTGATACATGATACCTGATACATGATAACTGATACTAATATCGATACTGATACTGACACAAATTCTTTGAATTAAAGAGAAGAATGTGACAAGTATGAATACAAGCTTTGGGTAATCTTGGATGATCAGCATATGCTAGCTCTTTGTAATGAGCATTCGTAGGTTAGTTTGTTCCGACTGTTCGAGGGTGGAATTGATGGTTGAAAGAAAATTTTGCGTGGATATATTCTTATTTAGGCTTTTGAGTAGACATGGAAATTGTAGGGCAAATTGCAAAAAAATTTATGACAAGAGATTTTAATTAAGAAAATACCAAAATTACCTGAAATCATTTTAACCCTAACTCGCCCAACTTTTATAATTTAAACCATATTTAGCCACAATTTTATCAATTAACCGATTTTGATATGCAATCTATGAAAGACTTTTATTTAATTTTATGCAGAAAACCTTAATTATAGAATCTTGAAATCAAATTCATCTTAAGAATATAATCACGTAATAGAGATTATCGACATACCGTTCGCCATGGATTTCGATAGAGACGATGAACGATAGCAATCTACAAGCTGAGCCTAGCCCGGCCTCCTTCGAATCTCCTTGTGAGAACATTATTCGTAGCACACCTTCTTCTCTCTATCTCTCTAATATCACAACTCACTAAGTATTTATGTAATTGATGGAATTATCAAATTGCGTCTGATCGTTGAGGAGAAGAGCTGTGGATTTCTTTTATAGACGAGAGAAGAGGGCCACGATTGATTTGTAACGGCAGAAGGGATTACAAATCAATTACTATAAAATCACCTTAATACCATAATTGAATTACCCACAATTTAATTAATTAAAATAAAGATTAGTGGACCGAAAATAAAACGTTTTAAAACGTAAACTAACAATCTAATCTTAACTTCAATTTTTACCCGTCATTGTCGGTGACCGTTGATGAATTTTTTTTTTTTTTTTTGAACTTCTTTTTTTTCCTGGATTTTTTTTTACCATTCTATTGTCATTTGTCGCCATTTTGCAAGTTGTGTAAGGTTTTGATTTCTTTAGTTTTGAGGTTTTTTAGGAGGGTTTTTCGGGAGGGAGAAGAAGGAGGTGGAGGAGGTGAGGGGTTTGTGAATGAGAAGGGAAATGAGTTTTGAGGGGTTTTGATTGTTTGATATTGAAGAAAGATAAATAATATTTGTAATGTTTTTTTGATTTTGATTTTCATTAAGGATATTTAATGTAATTTACTTTGATTATTTAATTCTTGTTTTTTTTATATTGAACAACGGAAAATTTAAGATTTATTTTAGTGACCCCAATTATATTATAAGTAATATTTTGGACAGAAGGCAAAAGTGGATAAGATTTTTTTTCTGAAACTATTTTTGCTCTGTTGCTCTGGCAAATGGGCCTAGGTGCAACTCGGGTCCTAAAATATAATTATCCTAATCTCATATTTGATTATTTCTAAACTAAATGCACTGTAAATTGGAATGTACAGTACGTAATATATCTGAGTGGGGTGGTGACATATAATTACAATTGGGGTGAATCGAATTTAGACAAACTTCTTTTTTTCTCCAGAAAAGAAGACTTTTATTCCATAGAAAAGTTAGGGCCTCGTTAGAAATTTGGTTGGCCTAAATATAGTCAAACTTGTTACATTTTTTGTGTGATTTACGAGTTTTACACGTTTACGAGGTTCTCCCAGTACAATTCGAGTTATCGTGGATTATTTTGTATATATGAGATTTTAATTTTTCGGTTAATTTTAATTTGTGATTTTCTTTTTCTTCTAACAACTCTAATTACAATTTCAATATTACTATATATTTCATAATAAATAAACAACACTTGAAATTTATTCAATAAAAAATAATTGTATGCAGAAGAAATCAATTAACCCCGTTTAGGGTCACTTTATCATAAAAAATAAAATCACGTGCCAATTTTATTTTTAATTAAAAATTAATACCATGCCACTCCTAGTCTATACCAACTCAAAATGAAAAACTTCGTACTATTATGTATACATGGTATCAACATAGATAATACTGATCTATCGTCATCGAGCTACAATAATTAATATATTCCTCCATATTTTAGGTTTTTAGTAGAAAGGACGTATTTGATAATGGACACCATGCAGAAGTATGCGATGAAGAAATCGGCAAATCGGCAAATCGCCAAAGGAGGACTATGACGTTCGGACTCAAGTGCAATAAATGCCAAAGGCATACAGTATAGATAAAAAACTTAGGTGTTTCAAAAGAGCAATCGGAATTGACTCAACTTTCGAAGTTGAAATATACCGATTTGAATTTTGGTGACAATGTTGTTAAAGTGACTTTTCGATCGCTTTGGATCCTGGCCGATATGATTACGTTCTTGAATCAGGGGCCACTTTCGTTGCCAAAAGGTTTTATAAATTCTCATATCATGTATAATTTATATATAGCTTTTATTTTGTTTTCATTTTAGATGACATGCTCTAATATGTTTTTGAATTTTTCATTTTACTTTTTTACGGTGATTACTGTACGCTAATTCGATCTTCACCACAATAAGCTAAGTCAGTCTCACTCAAAGTGCACAACAGTGTGTGCAAGTGTTTATAAAAGAAAACAAGTGTTGGAGAATGTTAAGAAATGCTCTCAAGTTTTAGACAGTTTGATTAATGAATTGTTGAATTGTTAGATGGTTACGAATGAATGAATC